CCAGACGTGGACGAGTGCTTGGGGTCATCACGCCATAGGATGACCACAACTTGTGGTCATCACACCATGGGGTCACCATGGCTTGGGGGACTTGGAGACCCCAATACTCCTGTGGCCACCACCCCCTGATGTCCTCATGTCCCCTGATGTCCCCATGTCCCCTGATGTCCCTGATGTCCCCCCAGACGTGGACGAGTTCTTGGGGTCATCACGCCATGGGATGACCACGACTTGTGGTCATCACACCATGGGGTCACCATGGCTTGGGAGGACTTTGAGACCCCATAACTCCTGTGGCCACCACCCCCTGATGTCCTCATGTCCCCTGATGTCCCCATGTCCCCTGATGTCCCTGATGTCCCCCCAGACGTGGACGAGTTCTTGGGGTCATCACGCCATGGGATGACCACGACTTGTGGTCACTCTGTTATGGGGTCACCATGACTTGGGGGGACTTGGAGACCCCATAACTCCTGTCCCCACCACCCCCTGGTGTCCCCATGTCCCCCTGATGTCCCCATGTCCCCCTGGTGTCCCCATGTCCCCCTGGTGACCCCGATGTCCCCCCAGACGTGGACGAGGTCTCAGGGTCACCACGTCATGGGATGACCACGACTTGTGGTCACTCTGTTATGGGGTCACCATGGCTTGGGGGACTTGGAGACCCCATAACTCCTGTCCCCATGTCCCCCTGATGTCCCCACATCCCCCTGGTGTCCTCGATGTCCCCCTTGTGTCCCCGATGTCCCCCCAGATGTGCACGAGTGCTTGGGGTCACCACGCTATGAGATGACCACAACTTGTGGTCATCACACCATGGGGTCACCATGGCTTGGGAGGACTTTGAGACCCCGTATCTCCTGTGGCCACCACCCCCTGACGTCCCCTTGTCCCCTGATGTCCTCCTGATGTCCCCACGTCCCCTTGGTGACCCCGATGTCCCCCCAGACGTGGACGAGTGCTTGGGGTCACCACACCATGGGATGACCATGACTTGTGGTCATCACACCATGGGGTCACCATGGCTTGGGGGACTTGGAGACCCCAATACTCCTGTGGCCACCACCCCCTGATGTCCTCATGTCCCCTGATGTCCCCATGTCCCCTGATGTCCCTGATGTCCCCCCAGACGTGGACGAGTTCTTGGGGTCATCACGCCATGGGATGACCACGACTTGTGGTCATCACACCATGGGGTCACCATGGCTTGGGAGGACTTTGAGACCCCATAACTCCTGTGGCCACCACCCCCTGATGTCCCCACATACCAGGGTTGTCCCAGTCCCGGTGTCACCATGCCAGTCTGGGTGTCCCCATGCCCATCCCAGCATCCCCATGGTCATCTCCATCCCACACCCCAAATCCCAAACCCTAAACCCGAAATCCTGATGTCCCAAATCCCAAATGCTGATGTCCCAAACCCCAAATCCTGATGTCCCAAACCCCAAATCCTGATGTCCCAAACCCCAGATCCCAAACCCCAAATCCCGATGTCCCAAACCCCAAATCCCGATGTCCCCAATCCCAGAAGTGGACGAGTGCCAGCGTGGGGCCGTCTGTGCCAGCAGCCGCCACACCCACCCCATTGCCGCACCCCAAATCCCAAACCCCACATCCCAGTGTCCCAAATCCTGATGTCCCAAATCCCAAATCCCAGTGTCCCACATCCTGATGTCCCAAATCCCACATCCCAGTGTCTCAAATCCTGATGTCCCAAATCCCAAACCCCAAACCCCAAATCCCGATGTCCCAAACCCCAAATCCCGATGTCCCCAACCCCAGACGTGGACGAGTGCCAGCGCGGGGCCGTCTGCGCCGGCGGGCGCTGCCTCAACACCGACGGCTCCTTCCAGTGCCAGTGCCCGGCCGGGTTCCGCACCGACGACGCCAAGGCCGAGTGCCGCGGTGAGGGAGCGGCGTGGGGCCGGGAAGGACTGCCTCGGTGAGGGGTTTGGGATTGGGATATGGGATTTGGGAATTGGGATTTGGGATTTGGGATTGTTCCCGAGTGCCAGCCGGGATTCCGGCCTGGCTACGGTTAGGACTGCCTTGGTGAGGGACCAGGACAGCGGGATTTGGGAATTCGCTATTTGGGATTGGGATGGGGATAGGGGCTATGGGATTGGGGAATGGGATATGGGGACTGGGAGGGGGTGGGGACATTGGGATTGGGATGGGAATGGGGATATGGGGATATGGGGATATGGGGACTGAGATTGGGATACTGGGGTGGGAATGGGGATATGGGGATATGGGGACTGGGATTGGGATTGGGATACCGGGATGGGAATGGGGACTGGCCTGGGAATGGTGACAAGGGAACTGGGACAGGCACAGGAATGGGGACAGGCCGGGAGCTGCTCCTGGGGTTCTGGATGTCCCCATTCCAATGTCCCCATCCTGCCGTGTCCCCGATTGTCCCCGTGTCCCCTTTCCCATGTCCCTGATCCCGATGTCCCCATTCCCGTGTCCCCATTCCCATGTTCCCATTCCCGTGTGCCCATCCCAATGTCCCTATCCGGTGTTCCCATTCCCGTGTCCCCATCCCGTGTGCCCATCCCGTGTCCCCATCCCAATGTCCCCATTCCCGTGTGCCCATCCCGATCCCAGACGTGGACGAGTGCCAGGAGTACGGGGCCGGGCTCTGCGGGGCGCAGCGCTGCGAGAACATTCCGGGCTCCTATCGCTGCGTGCCCGAGTGCCAGCCGGGATTCCGGCCCGGAGACGGCGGCGACTGCCTCGGTGAGGGGCTTGGGAGTGGGATTTGGGATTGGGAGTGGGAATTGGGATTTGGGAATTGGGATTTGGGATTGTTCCCGAGTGCCAGCCGGGATTCCGGCCTGGAGACAGCGGGGACTGCCTCGGTGAGGGGTTTGGGATTGGGATATGGGATTTGGGAATTGGGATTTGGGATCATGCCCGAGTGCCAGCCGAGATTCCGGCCCGGAGACGGTGGGGACTGCCTCGGTGAGGGGTTTGGGATTGGGATTTGGGATTGGGATGTGGGATTGGGATATGGGATTGGGATTGGGAATTGGGATCATGCCCGAGTGCCAGCCGGGATTCCGGCCCGGAGACAGTGGGGACTGCCTTGGTGAGGAGATTGGGAGTGGGAATTGGGATTGGGAATTGGGATTTGGGATTGTTCCCGAGTGCCAGCCGGGATTCCGGCCCGGAGACGGCGGGGACTGCCTTGGTGAGGGGCCTGGGAATTGGGATTTGGGATTGGGATTTGGGATTTGGGATTTGGGATCATGCCCGAGTGCCAGCCGGGATTCTGGCCCGGAGACGGCAGGGACTGCCTTGGGGAGGGGTTTGGGATTGGGATTTGGATTGGGATTGGGAATTGGGGTTTGGGATTTGCGATAGTGCCTGAGTGCCAGCTGGGATTCTGGCCTGGAGACAGCGGGGATGCCTCGGTGAGGGGTTTGAGATTGGGATTGGGATTGGGAATTGGTATTTGGGATTTGGGAATTGGTATTTGGGATTTGGGAATTGGGATATGGGATTGTTCCCGAGTGCCAGCCGGGATTCCGGCCCAGCGACAGCGGGGACTGCCTCGGTGAGGGATGGGGACAGCGGGATTTGGGAGTTTGGGATTTGGGGATGGGGACACAGGGATGTGGGATCAGGATGGGGACACAGGGTGACAGAGGCCAGCCCCGGGGGTGGCCAAGGACCTGGAGATGTCCCCAACCCCTGGTCCCACCCCGTGCCAGACGTGGACGAGTGCTCCAACGGGACCCTGTGCGGCGCCCACGCCACCTGCCACAACCTGCCCGGCTCCTTCCAGTGCGCCTGCGACCCCGGCTACGAGACCGCCCGGCACGGCCACCACTGCGTGGGTACGGCCACCAGCTCTGGGGACACCCAAATCCCTGTCCCTGTGCCCCAAATCCCTGTCCCTGTGCCCCAAATCCCTGTCCCTGTGTCCCTGTGTCCATCCCTGTGTCCCCATTCCATCCCAATCCCTGCGACCCCGGCTATGAGACCGCCCGGCACGGCCACCACTGCGTGGGTACGGCCACCAGCTCTGGGGACACCCAAATCCCTGTCCCTGTGCCCCAAATCCCTGTCCCTGTGCCCCAAATCCCTGTCCCTGTGTCCCCATCCCCATCCCATCCCATTCCCTGCAAACTGGGCTAGGAGACCGCCCGGCACGGCCACCACTGCGTGGGTACGGCCACCAGCCCTGGGACACCCAAATCCCAGTCCCTGTGCCCCAAA